GCCAGACCTGCTGAGTTTCTCCAATACTTTCTGTTTTATTTCAAATTTCCATCATCCACAACATTTACTTTTATCTCAGTAAGGGCAGTCCTACCAAGTCACTGAGTCAGCTTGTGGACGGAGAGGGTGGTTGGGGGTGGTGCGGGGATGGGCAAGGTGTGTGAGGACATCAGTCCCAGGAGTTTGGTCAATAATAGGGATTTATTGGGGTATTCCATGGTGTCCATGAGAAAAGCAGGCAACTCTTCTGGATATGGACCTCAATGTGCTGGGTTGCTGAGGGAATGGTGACAATTGGTATAGTCAAAGCCTGGGCAAGGGTCCCTCACTTGTTATGTTTGCAGACAGAGAAGCTCAAACTGGGGTGACTAGAGGATAGTTCTTCAAATGTGGCCTTCATAACCTGCTTACACTTAAACCCAGGCTGGTACACATTAAAACATTCGGTCTCCCTAGCAATCCTCAGTACAACTGAAACTCCTGTGCTTGAGTCTTCTTCGATAGGGAAAACACAAATGTGTATGCAGTTTGGGATGTAGTCCATATTATGATGTACATATTCTATTTCCATATACATTTTGATTGAGAGTTTGTTTCTTTTCCCCTCTAACACCACTCTTTCTTTATGTATTCCATATTATTTTGAGCTAAGTCCAGAAGTCCAACTCTAGTTTATTGCTTGAATCTGGGATTAGCGTCCCGTCACCATGATCCAAATCCACATCACTTTCAGCTCGAAAACCTCAGGCAGTATTCAGTGCTGTCCCCATTGGCAAGTTTAATGGGAGGAGATATTCAATTAGATGGAAAAGTAGTGGGTGCGGACCACGCTGTCTTTCCAACTCCATCCCAATTAGGTCCATGATGGGCAAGCCCATGGACAGTTTTCCCACCCCACTGCCAACTGAGGCATTTTAATGGGCAATTCATTCCCATTTAAAGGCCTCGCCCCACTACTGCTGGTGTTAACCAAGCAGCAGACTGGGGCTCTCCATAAGTAGATCTGTGTAGGGTTGCTTGTAAGCTGCTGGGGTGGGGAGTGGTTCCCTTGCTCAAAGGCACTCCATGCCTGATTGAAAGTCCCAGTTTTGAGAAGTGGTAGGGGTCTCTATTGAGGGCGACCCTCCTCCCTCATCACCCACCGTGACTCTTGCTACTATAGATAGTGTGCGGATCCTAACATCCATTTTAAACTGGTGCATAAAACAAAGACTGTGAAGAAACACATATTTTGCCTGTTCAGCCCCACCTTCTCCATAGAGTTAATCCTAAAGTCAGTGCTTCCTGTTACGAGCCTCCAGAGATTGGACTTTGTTGTGGCTTGAGCCAATATCCACCATCAAAAACTGGCTCAGTTCCAATCACAGAATGAAATAATATTGTTGGAAGCCCCATGGCACATTGGGAGTTTGCTGGCTGTTTGAAAGAGCTATCCAGTTTGATTCACGCTCCTGCACTGTGCCCATAGTCCTTCTTCAAGTCTACATATATCCAATTCCTGGTAGTTTAAGAATAGACAACTGCTTTTTAACATGTCTTACTGACAGATGACATAAAATTCTGATCATTATGGGGTACCCAACTCACGACTGGGCATTCACAAAATATCAAGAGAGCTAAGAAAATATTTCAACTAGCAGACCTCACATCACGCTGCAAGATCAGCTATGTGAGGTGTGGGTGGAATGACGAGGCACTAGCATTTTATTTTTGCTTCCTTGGTCTATCTTAATGCAACACAAACAGTGAGGCTTTCCAAATTTTAGTGAACTTTTCATTTAAAATCATTAGTAGTGCTCGTTATAGAACATAGAACATAGAACAGTACAGTACAGTACAGGCCCTTCGGCCCACGATGTTGTGCTGACCTAATATCCCACTAAGATCAATCTACCCTGCATACCCTACATTTTACTATCCTCCATGTGCCTATCCAAGAGTCGTTTAAAAGTCTCTAAAGTATCTGACTCCACTACCACTGCTGGCAACGCATTCCACACGCCCACCACTCTCTGTGTGAAGAACCTACCTCTGAAATCTCCCTCATACCTTCCTCCAATCACCTTAAAATTATGCCCCCCTGTAATAGTCATTTCCACCCTGGAAGAAAGTCTCTGACTATCCACTCTATCGACGCCTCTCATCATCTTGTACACCTCTATCAAGTTGATGAAGGGTCTAGGCCCGAAACGTCAGCCTCTCTGCTCCTATGATGCTGCTTGGCCTGCTGTGTTCATCCAGCCCTGCACCTTGTTGTCTCACCTCTCATCCTTCTTCGCTCCAATGAAAAAAGCCCTAACTCCCTCAACCTTTCCTCATAAGACCTGCCCTCTAGTCCAGACTGGAGGTAAATCTCCTCTGCACCCTCTCTAAAGCTTCCACATCTTTCCTATAATGAGGTGACCAGAACTGAACACAATATTCCAAGTGTGGTCTAACCAGAGTTTTATAGAGCTGCAGCATAACCTCACGGCTCTTAAACTCAAATCCCCTGCCAATGAAAGCCAACACACCATACGCCTTCTTAACACCCCTATCAACTTGGATAGCAACTTTGAGGGATCCATGGTCGTGGACCCCAAGATCCCTCTGTTCCTCCACACTGCCAAGAATCCTACCATTAACCCTGTATTCTGCATTCAAATTCGACCTTCCAAAATGAATTATATCCGATCGTGCAATCAAGTCACTAAGTATTGCTACTATTATAAATGACTATAAGCTGTCTTGCAAGAAAATGTTTCCATGGTAACAATACTACTTTAAATGGCTTGGGTATTTAAGCTTTTGAAGCAAAGATTACAGAAATCTACTATTTACAACTGCTCAATTACAATTTTCTGACTGGAATCTTTAACATGGAGGAAAATTATACAGATGTAATATAGATATAGGAATATATAATACAGCTGTAACATATGGATATGTATCCATCTATAATAATTATGGATTTGGATATTAGTAACACTTTACTGAAAAAAATTATTCCTGTTCTAATTCAATTTGTCTGACATTTTCAGCGTCTAATAGTCAGGAACAACATGCACAGACATTTCAGAAATTATACTCTGTTTTTTGTAATTATATAAGGTGATTCTTACCGCTTGAGCATAGGCACCGTATGCACCAAATTGGATTGCCATTGGGTTGAACATTCCCATTTGCCCTGCCATTTGCTGCATGCGACGCATTGTGCGTTCCTTGTCGGTGTCTGCAAATTTTACCACTAGGCTCGAAGATGCCCCCTGAAAGGCAGAAAGAAAAGAAACTAATCAATAGAGGTGCCAAGCAGCATCACTGTTACCCCATGTAACTTTACAGTAGTCTCACTGAGCTCCTGTTACTTTTGCCTTTGATTTAGGACAGGAAGGTAGCACTTTTTCAATTTGTGAAAAACAAACCAGTGTTGATAGCAGAAAAAAACAAACAAACTGTGGTCCATTTTTTTCCCCCTGACTTATCACCCTATTATCAAGTTATCTGGACTGCAACACACCTTGACTTCTGGCCTCTTAAAATTTCATTTCAATAGTGTCTTCTCAAATAATCCTATTTCACTTTTGGGTTACTTTGCAGTCAGTTTATTCAGGCTCAGACTGCTGCTGTAGGTAATAAAAGATCACACTTTTGTTTACAGATCCGGAGGAGAGTTTTGTTTCCTTAAACTCTACTGGGATTGTGACATTTTGACAGTTGTGCACAGGGCAATCAAACTAGTTAATTCTTCCAGATGGAACTCCAACACAATACTGCATGGCATTTTAAGTATTTGTCATTTGAATCAAGCTGACTATTTTCATGGACGATCATGCGGTGAATTTTGCCTGAGATAGAACAGAGCATTGGAATAGCAATGGAATATGGCCTGCTTAATACAATTAACACCAACTATAATCCTGACTATTTGTTTTGACTGTGTGCAGTATTAGATGAATGGGTTAGAAATTCTTCTGGAGTCAAACCAGATGATATTGGGTTGACTGCTGGTGAAATTCAATGCTCGAAATTCAATTTCCTTGATCACAAAGAACTGGTTTATCAGGTGCTGCATCCTATCTGGTATCATGTGTTTGTGTCGCTACTGGAGGTCAATTTCTACCCTATTGAGTCTTAACTGATATCGATAATTCTTTTAAAGTTCTGAGCAATATTGACGTTTATAAATTGCATGAAACTGAAGCTAAAGTGTCAAACACCATTCTGCGGTAGCTAGATGAAGAATGAATACCCACAGTGCAAAAGAGAAAAAAGACATTTTGAATGAAACATCAATGGTTACATGATGCCAAGTCTGAGTTTCAAAACCCTTAAGTTAAAGGAAAAGGGGGATCTTTGCGGTAGAGGAGACTGGGGATAGATTCCTTTTTTCAAGGTTCTAAAAGGAAATAAATTAGTGTTGGAGCATAGGATGGGGATGCAGAAAGGAGACTGTGACACATGTCGGATGAGCTACTTTGGGAATTTAGGAGGAACAATCAGAGGAAAAATAATTATGATTGTATTGTCAAAATAATGACAAGAAATTCTGAGGGAGAAGTTGGAAATTAAGAGCAAGGGAAAGACTTCTTGTCAAATGATAACTAGTTTGGTTATGTTATATACATTCCTTGGAGTCCTGGGATTAGCTTTGGTGAATTGTATTTTAAAAAGCTGTAAGAGAGATTCAAGGCAGTCAGTCAAAATGTCTTAGAATTTTACTGTAATACTGATGATTAAAAAGAAGTCACAATATAAACCCAATGCATAAAACATTTGCATTTTATACAACACATCGATCTAATGATAGTTTGATACTTAAACTGAGTATAATTTTGATAAGAAAATGAATATTTTCTCAACCACATTCTACCGTGGAATGTTAACTGTTTGAATCCTTAGTGAGCTTTTATTAAATTCCTCCCCATTGCTTCACTGAAGACACTGATCCATCCATTTCATTATCCTGCAGCACAATTTTGAAGCAGATGCAATTTGTTTTTAAGGAAGGATGAGAGTGAGCCATGACTGAACATGATGGAACATCAATTATTATTCTGCTTGTACTTAGCATTAAACATGTAAGTGTCAGGAGTGCTAGCTCTTTTGCAATAAAAAAACCCAGAAAATGTGGGAAACACTCAGGTCAGGCAGCATCTGTGAGTAGAGAAACAGCATTCCTATTTTAGGTCGATGGCCTTTCATCAGACCCATCAAAAATTGGAGATGTAGCAAGTTTTAAGCAAGTACAGAGGCAAGTTAAGTAAATAGAGGGTGAATGGATGAGGAACAGGGGAGAACAAAAAGAGGAATTCTTTGATAGGATGGAAGTCAGGAAAGATTTAATGACAAAAAGGATGATGTGATAAATAAAATGCATTGGTAATGGGATAACTAAAGAATCAAAGGAACATTTAGAGGAACACAAGAGCAAACTAAAATGAATGCTCAAAATCTGAAAAAGATTGTGAACAAAATATTGGGTAATCATTTGTTAAAATGACTTCCGTGTTGCTGAAAAAGAAACACATTTTGTTGAAGCTTTCCATTTTGCACATATAAAGCTAATTTGCCAGAAATATCAAAGCAAAGGGAAGCCAGCATTTATATTGTATGAGAGGAGATTGCTGATTGGTTGGCAAATGGCGTTTGATTGATAGAAGTGCTGACATGGAAATGAGAATGTACCAGTTACATTTTTGAAAATTCATTTACAGAATGATGCCATCACCATCTGGGCAAGTGTCTATAGCCAAAGGACACTGTCTATTGTCTAGGCCAATAGTCCATTTATTGTGGGAAGACAAGAGTCACCCAAATTCCTGTGGGTCTGGAGTCACATATAGGTCAGATCAGCTAGGGACAGCAGACTTCCTTTCCTAAAGGACATCAGTGACAATTGACAATGATTTTGTGGCCATCATGTGACTTTTAATATCGGAATGTTATGGAATTGAAATTCGGCCATTTGCCATGGCAGGATTGAAATCCGAGTCCCCACAACGTTAACCTGGGTCTCTGGATTAATAGCTTAGTGATAATGCCACTATGCTATTGCTTCCCCGATGTAATGAGCCAGACAGTAGGCAAATATTTTTGCAATATCTGCAAGGTGGTGGCAGAGTAGGTGTCCTGAGCCGGACCTTGTCCACTCTGACTGTTTTTCTTTTCTTTCTTTACTTTCTCATTTTTCTTGATTGTTTTTCAATCTTCTATTTGCCGTTTGAGCTTAGATGGCATTGGTGGCAGACCTCATGGACCTTGAGCGAGCCCAGCGCAGAGCTCGAGTGTTCGTAAAACTGGAGGCAGCAGCAGCAGGGAGAGACGGCGGCTGGGCCCAATGTGAGCCTGGACGGCAGCAGCAGGGAGAGATGGCGGCTGGGCCCAATGTGAGCCTGGAT